CCCCTATTATAAGGGGCTGTGGACAAGGAAGACAACAGGCTTGGCTGGGGCGGGGGGACCACGCGTTGCGGAGCCGGGAGCCGGGGACACTCGGCGCTCCGGGGGGCTCTCCGGCCTCTCCCGCGTTCCCGGCCGCGACGGCACGCGCCTTTCCGGGCTGTACCCTTGTCTCTGTACAGATATTTTGTAATATATTCGATTTTTTTTTCCTTTTCAGTTTATAAAAATGGAAAGTGGAGATTGGAAAATTAAATATTTCCTGTTACTGTATGTATTGCCTTTTGCTCCGTTGCGCTGGACCGGTGCGGCCCTCGCGCCCGGCACGTCCTGCCGCTCGCTCCGCCGACCTTTAATGGGGTTTTCCCTTTCACAGGACTTTTCCCAAGGTTCGGGGGCAGCCGGCACGGAGGAGAGGGAGGAAACGCCGGCTGAGGGAGAGCTGACGTGGCTTAAAATACCCTGGGGTATTTAATCTATGTCCTTAAAATTCCCCTCCGGGTATTTTAAGGGATGGTGGGAGGGGATGGGAGGCTGCAGCCTCCGCTCCGGGGTGCCAGCGCCGTACGTGCTGCTCCCTATGGAGCCCCTGGTGTGGTGGCCGGGAGCGCACACGTGTGTGCACACGTGTGAGAGCGTGCAGGGGACACGGGGACACGTGTGCATGCGCCGGTGCAGGAGCAAGCATGCACATGGGGCTGCATGTATGCATGTGCATGCGGCTGCATGTATGCATGTGCATGCATGACCCTGCACACATGTGCATGCTTGCATGCAGACCCGGGGCGCACACGCGTGTGCAGGCAATGCTGCCGTGCACACACGTGTGAGCGTGCAGGTGACACAGGGACACGTGTGCACGCGCCCGTGTGGGAGCAAGCATGCACATGGGGCTGCATGTATGCATGTGCATGCATGACCCTGCACACATGTGCATGCTTGTGTGCAGGCGGTGCTGCCATGTGCACACGCGTGTGAGCGTGCAGGGGACACGGGGACATGTGTGCATAGGCCCGTGTGGGAGTGAGCATGCACACAGGGCTGCACATATGGATGTGCACGCGTGACCTTGCACACGTGTGCATGAGCTTGCATGCAGACCCGGGGCACACATGTGTGTGCACACGCGTGTGACCGTGCAGGTGACACGGGGACACGGGTGCACGCGCCCGTGCGGGAGCGAGCATGCACACGGGGCTGCACGTATGCACGTGCATGCATGACCCTGCATGCATGTGCATGAGCTTACATGCAGGCCCAGGGCACACACGCGTGTGCACACGCGTGTGAGCATGCAGGTGACGCGGGGACACATGTGCATGCGCCTGTGCAGGAGCGAGCATGCACACGGGGCTGCATGTATGCATGTGCATGCATGACCCTGCACACATGTGCATGCTTGCATGCAG